GAAAAAATTTATTTCTTAAAATATTTTTAATTTTTCTTAAACCATAAAAATATTGAAGATTAAGGTGAATTTAAGAATGAATTTATTTCTTAAAATTAAAACTAGTACAAAAAAATCCGAGTTTAATTTATTTCTAATTTATTGAAATTAAATGTACATTAATTGAATATTACCCTTTTTCTTTTTTTATTATTATTTTCTTCATAGTAGCTATAATCTGAATCATCTGAACTCTCTTCGGTGCTTTCTTCGGTGTCTTGTTCTGGCAACGGTATCGAATCACGTGATTCCCCCTCGTTGCTTGTATCTCGACTCTCTGGCATTACGTCGACGACTGGTAGTGGCTAGTTACTTGAGGTCGCAGCCACAACTAAAGAAGCAGAAGTTGTAGTTGTCATTTGTTTGAAGTAACTTGTTGAGCTAGCTACTGTTATTCATCTTGGTTGAAATTGGTTGCGATTAATGAGATTACTATGATATTCTACTTCTTGCTGAGAGTGGTTGTTGATATGTTTATTCAATTGGTTCCTTAGGTAAGTATTACATATTTTGCACACATAATATCTAATTCTACTTTTAGCTGTTCTTGGGAGGTAAAACGTGCCAACAGGTATCTGAACGGTAAGTCTACTCACCGAGGTCTTAAATTTCTTGGGCTTTCTAGAAGGCATTTTTTTTTTTTAAAAAAAAAAAAAGCCGCTCAGATTTAATTTATATTCACTTTAAATGCTATCATCACAGCGGTTTAAATAGTAATAATATAATTTTTTAAAGTGCGAATATCAGGACGAACTTGATCTTTCATTGTAGCCAAATATTCTGCTACTGGTCGAGAATCTGTTAAACACAAAGTGAAAATCCGTAATATATAAACAAAATTTTTTAAGAAAATGCATACTGTATAAAAAATATCAAAAAAAAATGTATAACTGGATTCGAATTTAAAATTATAGTTTTTTATATTACAATAACAACCTATTACTGTTAGGAATTCATTTAATATTGATAGAAACAAAATTAAGAAGTTTATTTTCTGCAGATTATTTATATTATCTGTTCAATGTTCAGTTCGACTATATGCGATTTCTATCAGTAAAGACTGTATTAAAAGCTGCACAATTAAATGATTTTATAAATAATGATATTTTTATTGTGAACTTACTAATATTATTTATGTAAGTACAATATTTTTACAGTAAACACATATTGAACTAAAATTAGAATAATCTTATAATAAGTTGACTCAACAACTAAGTCATGATTTAGATGCAAAAAATTACACGTGATTGGTCAAAGCTATAAATTTATCAACTGACTCATGTGGTAGTTCAAAATTTCTAATTAATATTTTCATTTCTAATTTCACAAAAACGAATAAATCTTAATGTCATTTGAACCAAGAAACCTACCCTTTCCGCCAAATTAAGAAACTTACTATAATTATTTGAATTTTTCAAATTTTTTGTGGTCATCACAACTGACAAATGAATCTAACAATTTTGATTCTTTAATAAATTAGGATGCTTCTCAAGGTAAGAAATTATAGTTAAAATAATAGTAATAAGAGTGGAATTAATCTTTTTTTTTTATATATATAAGATACAATTACTTTCGAAGATTTTTTGGCCAGTGAATCAACAAATAAACCAGAAATAAATTATGTTAAAAAATTTTTTATTAATGCCGCACTTGAACAAAAATTAAATTATGTTAATCGTAATCAATATAAATTTTATATATTGCTTTTTATTTATTCTTTTATACTTAATTTGTTTATTTATTATTTTTATCATAATTACAATAAGAACAGTTTTTTTTGATATGGTTAATTACGGTGACTTGATTTATATTGATAACGATAAAGTAAACTATATGAAAATCATGTAATTTCTATAACGATAATTGAATTGAACTTTAAATTAGAGTGGCTTTTTATGTTTTCATAAATTAGTGCAAATTTATATTTGGAATTACAATATTAGCTTAAAAACCGGTTTGTTATAAAAAAAATTAATTGAATTTTAAATTTAGAGTGGCTTTTATGTTAGCATTAAATTAGTGCCAAATTTGGCTTGGATACTTTAAACTTAAAAACCGGTTAATAATAAAAATTCACTTGATTTATTATATAATTCAAAACAGTACTATGCTAATGACCTGCAGGTTTTTTGTTTTGTTTTGTTTTTTTTTTTTTAACAACACTGCCTCTTTATTACTCATTATGGAATATACATATACATATACATTATATTTTTACAAAGGTTTTCAGTACATAATTGGTAAATTATTTCTAACTAGTATTTGTTATACTGCTATCACCAAGTTCGTATCTTATACCACCTTTTGGGGTGCTGCCGTAACCCAATTTTTATCTCAAGCCACAACTTTTCTAATTAGTTATTTTCTATCACAGATATTCCAGGTCCCTACTCCTGTGGTGTTACAGTTCCTGAAAATCCCTTATAAACCATTTAGAGTGAGACGTACCAAGCTTTACAGCCCAATATAGTCGTATTAACCCTTATTTTACCTTATCAACAGGTCAACACATACCGTGAAGTTTGCTTACCCCAACTTCAGGTGCCTATCGGCTCATTGGATGGTGGGATATTACTATTTGCTAGATATTACATGTTCCACACATATATCTATCTAGACTTCAGCAACCTACGCCACGGCTCTACCCATGTACTTGGGGTCAGGGCTAACCATTGAACCCCTGTAATTACCTACTTTTGCCCTTATTTTAGATTTCCAACAACCCTAGTATTCGCATTTGAACTGTCTTCTTACCCGGATTCTTTATCGGTCTCTCTCTTACTTCTAGCCGGCAACTCAGAAGAGTTGGTCTGCCCAGGCTTTAGGTGCTTGAAGGACGCTCTCCCCTTGGTACATACTTTCGAAGCATATGTCCTTTTCCTCCGGTGCGACAGAAACTGGCAGTTCAGCTAGTGTGTTCTCCACCATTAGGACCTGGTCATTCAGTTCTTCAATCTCAGGCCCCAGTTTGAATTCAGCCCTCCTGTAGTACTATCGAAGATCACTATTACTCCTAACTCAGGACTTTCCAAATGGGTTTTCAGTTATGCTAGTTTTTTAGATTTATTGTATCATTGCTCCCATAACTAGATGGTGTGACTAAGATTACAGATTTATCTAAGATTCAACCAATAAGCATAGCCGTTAACCATACACAAGCATATTTTCGCCAGTGGGATTTGAACTCTAGACCTGCTACTTGGAGAGGTGACAACTAGACCACTACACTAAATTGCCACACCTCTACTTGCAGGTTTTTTGGATCTATAATTTTATTAATATATTTATAGAAAATATTGTAAGTTTTAAATATTTGCTTAGTAAATCTTTTCAGCTTCTAAGCAAACTTGTCGAGAAGCATTTTGCAATTAAAATAGTAATTAAAACATTTATTTTATTTTATTTTTTTTAAATGTCGATAGGTCTCGCCATGACTAATCTTATTTATTAATATATAAATATATAAATCTCAGATAAGAAGTCCAATATTACATGGTTCCATATCGTGGTGCGAAATCTAACTCAGGCCTATGAGCGACTCTATCCTATCCAGATCACGGATGACTGGAATTATCCAAAAAAAAAAATTCTATAAAAAATGAAAATGAACTATGACTAAAAAGGGGAAGTGAGCAAAAGAGGGAAAAGGGAAAAGAGTGAAATAAAAAATAAAAAAAACCCCAAAAAAAGAAAAAACAGGAAAAAATAAAAAAAGCTTTATAGAACTAGGATAAAGTGTTAAAAGGGATTTCACCTCTCTACATATTACGAATGCACTATTATAACCTGTGCAAGGCTAAAAAAAAAATTATATAACAAATGCAACAATTGTATATCTCTAGTATAAAGCTTCGTCTTAATGTATAAAGTTTTTCTGACTTATGTCTGCCTTCGAATATCTCTTTAACTGGAGGTTCTGATCCAACTTTCAGAGTAGTGCCATATTTGTAAACAGACACGTCATGTGGTTGTATTCTACTGAGTCCGTCCGAATTTGGAAAGTAAACAATGCCGATCTTTTGGAGGGGGTAAGCCAAATCCCCACTTTTGTAGAAAATTTTGTAAGAATGGCAGGAAGGCGAAAAAGAGTAATATAGAAATCACTTGGCCAAGGTAAAAGAGTGTGGCTTAAGGAAAGTATGCTTTTTGTTCTCCAGTTATTTCTTAGCAGCTCACTTTGTCAACAGATGGCTTGGACTTTTTACCTCCACCTATCCACCAAAATTTCATATACTAGAGCACTACTTTCTACCAGTTATTTTGTATACTGACACTTTTGGCTTGCTTGCCAAATATATAGAGGAGTCCCCGATAGCAAACAGTTGACCTCTATAAAAACTGTCCTGCTTTTAGGGCTACTTAGACCCCAGCACCTATCTCCAGCAAGAAAACAAC